GCTATTACATAAATACTACGTTTAAAAGGGGAAGGAAACACAACAGGGAAAAGTAACCAAATTAATATCGTTTTTCTCAAACTCCCGAGTCAGTGGTATTCAATATATACTATGTTTAAAATAAAAAATGCTTTGGAATTCGGTTTATAATATAAAACCGACGTCTGGCAGCTGTATAAAGCATTTTCATTTGTTTTTTACTAACGCAAGTCAATCACGATTAAAGTATTCCCTATGGCAATGGCTTTTTGGAATAATTACATTATTAAACATCATTTACCATATCGAACCACCCTGAAAGTACTTAAGACACAATTTAATTATAAGCTTCTTTTACATGCAGTTGTTTGTTATGTTTTAATTTAGAAGTGTTTTGCAGTAGTTATTTCACTTATTCGTTTACTAGCTTGTTTTTCAAACTTAAGACCTTTGAAATCAGAAACGGTTACTTTATTTCCTCTAGTCTCAGACTGATGGAATTGGCAATATCAAAAAGAATGTTATCTGATTTTTTAATAGACTTTTATAATAAGACATCTTGCAACTTGAAGCAGAAAAAAATTCAGTGAGTTTACATTACTCTTTTCAATACGTCTTACACAAAATATTTGAGTTTACATTTGTCTTTCAAAGAAGTCTTGGAGGAGGTAGATCTCAATAACAAATGAAAGAACAACCAGTTTAGCATGCACTGGCTGGGGGGGGCTCTGAAACCACAGTTTAAAGCGATAGCTACCCCGTTCCCCCTTTTCAGATTTTAAATATATTCTTGAAAAACTTGAGCAACAAAAACAGAAAACGTGTGGCAAGATATGTGGCCTATTGAAGGGACATGGGACATAGATCTGCCAAAATAAAAAAAAGATTATTTTGCATTGACTGCGGTATTTCGTTCTTCGCAAAACATTTAAAACCCGGGTAAAACGCTTAAGCTAAAACCAAAGGGTTTACAAGTCAAGAAAATAGACGTCTAAAAACTATGGATTTACATTACAATCTTAAACGTCTTAACTCTAAAAGATTTTACATAAGAGCTCTTTGGACTTGGAGTGTACTGTAAATCTATCTATTTTTGACAAAAAAAATGGGGAATAATTACATATTAAATAGTGGTCTCATTTGTGTGGGCAAATGTGTTATCAGGAAAAGGAAAAAACTCGTAAATATGTTTGTATGGCTTTTAGATTGTCCGGTGATGACATAAATTGTACTGCTGTTATTTTTTTTAATTTGTTATTATCAATTGTTCGCTTCATTGGATTTTATTCGGCTAATTTAAGTAAATATTTATATTAAATTATTAATGTTTTATCAGATGGCAGGACACCGACCACTTATATAAGACTTTTAATTAAAGTATATACTCAACTGAATGTTTCCGTGAGTTCAAGAAATATCCCTATGCTAAAATGTGTGTTCTAGTGCAAAGATCTGATTTTAATATGGAGAAGTACCACGCCTCCTTTGGTAAGAAAGTGGACACATATGGGGGCTGTGGCAATTGACATTAAAACACATTTAACAATTTAGTTAATTGTTGTCCGCTAGGATCGCCCTGAAATCCCAGAATATCATATTTGAGGAAAAGCAAACCTCGTGTGAAGACAGTAAGAAAACTTGATTGAAACGCCTCCTTTCCCCCACTCAATATCTCATCTTATTTGTTTTATATGTCTCTGGATTTATATAAGTTTTAAAATCAAAAATGGTACGAATCTAGTCTGGTTTTAAAAACTGACTGATATTCGGATGCATATTTGATATTGATATAGATATTGGATTCCAATATTTCCAACACATTTTCCCTTGGAGCTGTTCTTTTTCATTCCTGAATTTGCATTTTTATTATTCCTTGGTCATATAGAGTTTAAGTAGGCCGTATAGCGTTACAATAAAACACAAAAGGGAATACACCTTTGAAATGAGATGACACAGGGCTATAGTTATACCAGTGGTTATTGGACACCTATGAACAAAAGGGCGATTGAGTAACAATCGTAAAACTGTTTGGTTGCAATAAAGCGCATCGTATTACTTTATATTCGTTATTTATGACTTTTCTTTTGTAAGACATTATATTGGAAATAATCGAAGACATAATTGGACAGTTAGAATTAAATATAAATGCTCTATCGACATCGTACTTATGAGATTGCTATCTTCGGCGTCCAATTAGTACATTATTATATGACTGTACATCCCAAAATGCGGCACTTTATTGGAAATAAGACAATTAGAACCCTATCAAAGTTTAGTACAATAGGCGTTGAATAAGAGAAATGAAAACAGGATGCCATATTTTATTATAACAATTACTATAAAAAGGCTGTGTAAAGTGTAGAGATTTCAGGGACACTCTGTATGTTTGATGCTGATACGCGGACGGTCTAAATGACCCGAAAAGTGCATATAGCTATGATGGCATTGAATTAGAGTTTCAATATAAAATGAATGCCAGACTCTTATATCATTTCATAAAGCTCATTCACAGAATGGGCACTCGGCCACACCATTTGATTGTGGATCACAAGGAAGGGGAGAGTATTGGATAATCAAAAACATACCTCTTACTATTTTGTAGCCGAGCCTTTTTAATTCTTAGAATTATAAACGTTTTTAGTTTTAGTATTAATGTTTTTTTTATTTCGACAAAATAATTTGAGAGGGTTTAAGAAGCTCCGTAGCCAGGATCATAATTTTGGCGAGGTAAGTTTTCAGCCGAAAACGTTTAAAAGAAAATGAACAATTTAAACCCCTCTCCCCAACCTCTTTTCGAATTTGAACTAAACCGGTATAATCTGGATCTTTTGATCTATTACCATGATCTTCCATACCGCTATATCAAGGATGTTCAAAACAATATGTTACTCTCTTATGCAAATATATGTTTGTCGAGAATGCAGAATGCGGGTTAAGGGATACCACATAGTACACCTTTCAACATTGTTATCATGAGAAGATTGATATTGAGAAGGTTATCATCAGTTGATATCAAATAGGTACAAAAGCGAATTTGTTTTGAGCAATCCCGGTCCGACATGAAGAAAAATGATTTTACTGCACGGTATTCTTAATAGAATTCCTAAAAAGTGTCCATAATATCTTTGAAATACTCTTGAGTAGTGTGCCCGATGCGTCGACTTCGACATCACCATCAACTATCAACATTTCATTAACTTAATTATGTTTATTTTCATCGTTTTCGTTTAGAAGGGTTTTATCCTAGAATTGTGCCTCCTATTGGCCTGACACAATCCTAAGCTTTGCTGTAGATGCATTAGATTCCATTTACCCAATGATTGATCCGGGAACTTATAATTCAGGATGAAAAAGGTCCAAGTACAGTCTGTTACACTTCTTCAAAGCAACCAGTTGAACCTAAAAAATAAGAAATCTAAAGACTATTGTGCAATAATATATAGAAAAATATATTCATATTGCACACAAATGACATTTGTTTATCTTGGATTGCTTGTGAATTGGCTTGTAAAGTCTGTAACCCCTTATATTTTGATGCTTTGCTCTCTTCGCTGCCATGTTAATTCTGAAAAAATAACATGGCGGATACGCGGTAAACACGATACAAATATATGTCATATTCCGCAACGAATATAGCATATTCACTTGCGGTGGATGACAGATTCACCTGCGGTATATGGCATACTCACTAACCAATGAGAACGTGATACGGAAGTACGTAATTGTCAATTCCATCGATTGAACAAACGGATAAAAGTTAAATTATTGAAATTATTACTGAATCATCGGTACAGTGCATTGAATATATCAACTAATGCAGAAGTATCACTCAGCAATCTAACGTGGTAAACTTACTCAATAAATCCAGGATTCATATATTACTACCCGAAGCACTAACTATATTGGTAATCCAGTAGTTTTACATTTAGAGTTGATTCTGGCAACCAATCAAAATAAGGTTTTATGTATCACGTTTTCACCTGCGGTATTGTATTGTATTGTATGTATGTATCATACTCACCCGCGGTATATTGCATATTACGCAAGTATGACATGTTCCGCAGGTGAGTATCGGATATTCACTAAAATTAATGTATCGCATATCCACTGCGGAATACCCCATACTCACCTGCGGAATATGCCATATACCGCAGGTGAGTATGGCATATTCACAAATACCGCGCAACCATGAATATATGCCCAATTCCGCGTAACACTGCGTATTCATTTCGGTTTCAGGGATAAGTATGTAAGCATATGCAAATTTACGCAATCAATCTACCCACATTTGTCGATCACATAACGTTTTCTTATCAAAGAACATTAAAGCAACCACTAAATATCATATAAGTACCTATCAATAAGAGGTTTGTGATCATTTCGCAATTAAGATTGATAATGACTTGGTTAAGTGTTATTTTATACTTATGATAAACATATAATCCTTAACGCAGATCACTTGGATTTAAAATATAGATATCAATACATCATAATTAGTATCTATACTATGTTTCACAACGAGGCTGGGTGCGTTGCAACGTCATTAGGACACAGTTGTTCTAATTTCTCCTTCTCAGCAGATTATGTTTCCCACATTGTATTAACTTTCATGATATATAGTCTAGCTAATTGATGCAGAGTAAATACAAATATAAAATTGCATAAAATGATAATCAATTACAATTTTACACATTAAAATGAAATTCAATGACTTCAAATATCCGTTGACTAATGACTGCTGAAGCCCAATAACAGTATCTCTTATCTATCCACATTTCAGTTCAAGGTTTGCCGGGTAAAATGGTCATATATGTTATGCGAGTGGGTGATTAGGTGAACATATATTTTAATGTTTTTCAGTTAAAAAGGTAAAATACTTTATAACGCACAAGTCGACAAAATGGGCCATGGCTAAAAACCTAACATTTCAAAAGGGTTCATATAATAAAATCTGTCGATAATAGTGTCTTGCAATTGTTTTCTTTCTTAAATATTGATATCACTGCTCTTTTTATTTCCAGGCGATATTGATAAGCTGGGTTTTCCAATAACCATCAGATTCTGTTACAAAACAAGTGATAAAGAAACGTAGAGGCATATTCCGATTTATCGTTCTTTGATGTTGAAAACAACCATCGTGTGTGATACAAACTGATCAGTGAGTGACGCATGGCTCATATAGAGGAAAGGTAACGACGATTGGAAAAGTTAATCGTAAAAATACACAACACCGTGGAGACGGTGTTTTATTAATTACCCGGGGTTGATAGAGCACTCCGGATAATTTACACAGCACGATTTCTTAATTAAAACATAAGGTGATTTCGACTTAAACTGCGAATATAATTAAAGAAATGGAGCCGAATGTGTCTAACTGAGAAATCTCACCAAGTTCAGTGATGAAATGAGACTCTTAGGGTTATTGACATATTGTTATGTACTATAACTACAAATGATAGAATATATGATTTGGGATTCAAACACGGGTATAACATTTTGATATGGCAGCGGATAACCTATCAGCTATTGAAGATACATCAACGATGATCATGGAGATCCTTGCTAACATTACAACAACAGCGCCGAATACGACAGAGAGATCAGAAGAACTGATGAATACGGTATGGTTTCGAACCGTCTTTATTGCCTGCTATTGTGTAATCTTCCTGCTTGGGGTTACTGGAAACTCGTTAGTGGTATTTGTCGTCGTTAGAAATAAATCAATGCAGAGCATCACAAACATATTCATTACCAATCTGGCGGTATCCGACATCATGATGTGCTTGCTATCTGTGCCATTCACCCCGCTATCGGCCTTCCTTCCATCGTGGGTGTTCGGTGATGCGATGTGCCATGTCATCCCCATGATTCTTGGCGTGAGTGTTTACGTATCGACACTCACATCCACAGCTATTGCCATCGATAGATACTTCGTCATCGTACATCCTTTTAAGCCAAGGATGAAGGTATCCGTGTGTCTTCTATTAATCTTAGCCATTTGGATAATATCAATTACTATATCTCTACCGTTGGCCATTTACCAGAAAGTAAAATGGAACGAGGATGAATACGCATTCTTTTGTGTGGAACACTGGCCTAAGAAAGCGTCCCGCCAGTTTTTTACGGTGACAAGTCTCATACTACAGTACATTGTGCCTTGTAGTGTCATCACATTTTGCTACACGAAAGTATCCCTCGTTTTGCGCAGACGCTCAAAAACAAAAATCGGAAGCAGCAGTAAAACAAAGGACAGAGACGAACTCGAGTTGAAACGAAAAAGACGCACAAATAAGATGTTAATCGCGATGGTCGCAATATTCGTCTGTTGTTGGCTCCCATTAAACATTGTGCATATTTTTGCTGAATATGAAGAAACTTTAAAGGACTGGCCGTATTACACTTTACTATTCTTTATCAGCCATATTGTCGCAATGAGTTCGGCCATCTATAACCCATTTCTTTACGCATGGATGAACGAAAATTTCAAGAAAGAATTTAAAACTGTTCTTCCGTGTTTATTCAACACGTTTTCGTCACAATATAATGGGAGCGCCTCACAGTATACTACTGTAGATACTCAAAACTCTGTCATTAATAGGTCACCGCCAAAGGAAAGGAATGGAAATAGTATTTGTAATCTCGAAAACTCTGTAGTTTACGAACCTGATACCGAGAGAGTAAGCCTTAAGCTTGGTTCTGTAAATTCTGAAAACGTTTAATAGGCTAAAGCTTAGCATCTAGAGGACACTAATACTGTGCGCTAAAGGATTTGGTTGCTCATTTAGAAGGTCGTTATGATTGGAGATGATTTGCAGGGCTAAGACGAAGAACGTGAATGTTTTAAGGAAACGGCCCGAAATGTATAAATAATGTGTATTTAGCAAGGGTCTAATTCCAACATTGGAAAATAATCCAAGGACGTAATCAGAAGCGAGTATTCTCATTCTCGCTATCGAGTCAATCTCTAGCAAATGAAAGCTGAAGAACATTGGTTCTGAATAGACAATGATTGATGGTATCCAAACATGGGTAATTTCACGTTATTAAACTAAAGAGTTATTACTTCAGGAGCTAACACACGATACAAGACAATACCTTCTTATTGTTATATATCAACTTAATGTAGCTGCTTAGAGCCTATAACACAAAAGACCCTATATATTTGAACTAGAGACGATTGGATATGCCAACAAAAATACCATCCATTGGTGACAATTTATGAGGCAATTTAAGTAATGGGAGAGGATTTGTTATGTGTCATACTCACATTCCGACACATGTCGGTAATACAATATATTACAGTAAAGTTATATAACAAATTAATCAACACGACTCCATCGACTGTCTGCAATGTCGGATTCCTGCCTTCCGTATTGGAGTCAGCTTTCTTTTGTTTTCATAGCAACCACATACAGTAGAACCTGTCTAATTTGAACACATATGGGACCGGCCAAAAATGTTCAGATTAGCGGGGGTTCAAATTTCAAGGTTTAATTAACATGTAAGTCAATAGATAACAAATGTTGGACGGAGAAAAAGTGATCAAATTGAGAGGTGTTCGAATTTGAGAGGTGTTCAGATATACAGGTTTCACTGTAGGTATTTTACAATTATGAAAACAATTTCCCATACAGATCTACTGTATGCTTTCCTTAAAATCTTAACACTCCTACATGTATGTACAATTCTAAACTAAATCGCAGCCTTTTGAAAGATCTATGAAACATGGTGATAGAGAAGTGGTTTGCACATGAGATATTAAAATCATGACGCATCGACTATGGTTTGAAATATGGCTCTTGATAATCTCGGAACCAAATTTCCTTTATACATATTCACCATTTTTTGAAAATCAGTTAATGATTATATATATCTAAACAGTCGACTGCCAAATAGATACACTCTCCTACATAAGATTGGAAAAAGTTTTACATATATATTACATACAATACGAATATTGAACTACGGCAACTACGCTACATCAAAAAAATAAGTGGACTACATACAACTTCTTATCGTATGATCCGTAAGATGAAACCCTCTACTGATCGGTCAATTTTTGTGCTGCACCAATCTGTATTGCTACTGAGATTGTCCCCATTGTTCATCTCCGCCGCAATTCAAAAAATATTGGTACGGAGGGGACAATCTCAGTAGCAATACAGAGAATACAGAATATTTCTTACAGAATATGTATTAGCGTAAGATCACACGATAAAAACGTTATTGAATGATTTGAAGTGCAACACAGGATATATTCTGTCTCGATATTCTGTATTGGCACTCGACTTCGTCTCGTTCCAATACAGAATTTCTCAAGCAGAACATATCCAGTATTGCACTTCAAATCATTCAATAACTTATAATGTGTGTTGTATTTGTTATTTTTAAAACGCCAAACATAAACACGCTTTGACAAGTGATCCAAATCGGTACTTCCGGTTTCCAAATTCATGAAGGGAGTGTCATTTGTTTGGCATTATATGACTATAGGCGTAGCCAGCATTCTACAGTAGCCTTAAAAGACGAGGCCCAAATTAAGGTCAAAGAGGATATATGTAAACCGTACTGGCTGACGTCATGTACAGTTGCAAAGTTTTTCGAAAGAAATGTTTGTAAAATGTTGGCTACGCCCACATATGCCCTAATTAGTCCATCTTAATTGTACATTCTCAACGTTAAATGGAATTTCAAAAATTCGAAATGTGTCAGATTGATTATATGAACCACCTCGCAATTAATTGGGTTTAGAGAGATACACTCCCCTCCATAAGTTTGGCAACCTTCCTCATTGAACTACGTGAGCCTCTTTATCCTTGAGTTTTTATTTACATAACGTGTGAGGAAAATACTTAATGGAAATGTAACTTGACTTCATTTCCATTGCCTCCAAATTTTCCCAATTTTTTCCTCAATTACAATAGGTCGTCAATTGATGAAAAATTTGATGATATTTTGAAAATCCTCATTCCCATGACGAGGGTTTAACATGTAGTCGATGAGGGAGCTAAGGTTGCCAAACCTTTGAAGGGAAGTGTATATAGCCTATACTGTATATGTAGCGAACAGTAGTGGGATGAATGAGAAGATTACCATTGCCAATATTACTGTGCAATTAAATCGATAAAAATGTTATCATTGTCAACAAAACATGCAACTGTTGCCTTGACGGCTGTTACTTAGAATTCCTTTGCATTATGTTTCCATGGAAATGTTAACTTCTGTAAGAAAATGTAATTAAGTGCATTGCCGTATAACCACAGTGAGCACTATCAATCTTCAGATATTCAGATATTAGACTGAAAGTGCGGTTACTCTTTGACTTCCGGTTTAGAGTCCCGTTTTTGCTTGGGGTGTCGACTTTTGGCTTGCAACCGAAGATACCTCAAGAAAAGCCGGAGACTGCCGAAGATTTTCTTTGCAAACAAAATTGGCCGAGGGTACCACGAATGTGAAGAGGACGTTTCCAATTGGTCAAAAAGAGAGGCTCGGCATTCTCCGTCAGATTGAATCGGCAAAATTCGGTTGTATGGCTTACCTTCGGCTGCATGGCCAACCCCGATTGAATGGAAAATATGCTGTCCTTTTTGTTTGGTCATAATCACTGAGTTGGTGTGTATTTTACCTTATTTTTCAACTTCAGTTGAGTCTCAATACTCTGATCATTATTTTGATACTTAAAACATTGTCAGAATCGCTTGCGAATCGCAGATATTGAGCTTGAAGCACAAATTTCTTACTTTTTTGGGCCAAAACTCTGCTCATGGACACGACCTCATATCTATTTATAGATCGTCAAGAAATCGTTAAAAATGTCTGACAAGTTACAAAAATATGATAGTTGAATAAACATAAAATATCACTGAGCAAAGCCCATGGCATGAGAAAAAAAATAATTTAGAATTTTCTTTTTTTCTAAGTTACCGGACTTCATTCTATTATATTAGATATTAGATAGATGGTGCTGACTGTACGTATAACCCTCTATCTATTAAGTATATTATAAATTGTCGAAACAGGCAGAATAGCAATTCGAGGTTTTAAGAGCAAAATATATGCATCGACTTGTTTAAGGTTTGTAAACAAGGTATGTAAAATTCTGTTTGGCGAATTGGGTAGATAAAATGCATGTAGGAAACTTCATATCCAAACTCAATTGTAAGTTTTCTTAATTTGCCAAGAGTATTTGAAATTTGTTTCTCTTTTATTTGTTCTTCAACAATGTAATATTTAAGACTTCAGAATGAAATATACATCCCATTGTCTTGTGATAAGGATACCCGAATTTTGGGTACGGGATTTTAGACACTGTGTGTGCAAGGTGATCTTTGAGGATATAATTGAGCGTTTTTGGTATACTAGGGGTTTATTTTCTAATGGCTGGCTGTGCCTTTTGATAGGTTTTTCCTGCTAAGTTTTGAAACACGTCTTATATTTTTCTTTTATTACCGTAATCGAGCTCACACATCTGATTCTCTCGTTGTTTATCCGCGAAGGGATTTTATTCATAATGTCTCTGGATATTTTGATTAAATAGTTTATCACAAAATGTCACGTATGGAATAACAGTTGAGTTTTAAATATAAACAAAAGGCATCACAAATCAGGAATCACAATTCCCGATTGATACCAAAGTTCAAGAGGGTGATTAGTAGAAATATGAAAAATGTTTTGATAGCTTTGCTTTGTCAGTTTATTAAATATCAATTCCCAAGGATTATCTTTTAAAAAGCATGATCCATAAAATAAACTGGATAGCGTGACTTCTTAATCAATATTTGCTAAATGGTTTTATATGGGAATGTTCCTGGATTAGTAAATACAGAACTATTGTGTTCTCCTGTCAACGTCTTATTAAATCTTCACTCTCACTTACGCAAGGTCGTTAAGTGGTATATCAGGGTGAATGAACTATGTAAAGTCATATTTTAAACAAATGATGAATTATCTCGTTGTCGTTAAAGTTAAACATCACTACAGTTTGGATCGCATAAACAAAGTTCTACTTAGGATGGAAAATACAGATTTCTTAGAAGTAAGCCTCAAGGGAGAAATATGTTAGAAATTACTTGCTGAAATCTTCATTTACATTTTGTCTCGGGTTCAATTCTAATTTATCTGTTCTTTATAATACTGAAATAGAAAATCAAAATAAAAGAGAGAACCATTATCTCCAAGGTAACATACAGAGTCGCATTTATCAACCGCAGTTCGAATATATATGAGTCAGTTATTGCCACTTTGGGGCATTTTGAATCTCGTGAGACGTGTATTGCAAAATGGTGTATATTCAAACCCTACCCAGTGGACAAGCCAGTCTTCAACATACCACTCCCGTAAATTGGCGATTTCATTTGAATTAATTGACGTGATTGGTAAAATCTAGAGAACTTGATTAGTTGCATTGCGCGTATTAAATGATAAACCAAGTACGACGGTGAACTATTATCAACAAAATTTTTATCTCAAAATTTCCTCCACTGAGATTTCTTCTAATGTTTCATGATTATAGATTAGTAATGTTTTCACAAAATGACAATTGAACAAAGCTTGAATACACATCTCATAATTTAAACGAGGATTTAATACGTCAAGTAATTGTATAGATAGATGCGGATTATTTTATCCAGATTTGGGATATTCTTTATATGCTCGCCGCGCCGCCGTATCAATTCCGAGACACTGTCATGGGATTTCGTATTCAAACCTTTGTATACATTAGCTCTTTGATCAGCAATACGAAACGTAAGTTTCACATTGTTCTTTATTTAGGCCTCATTGTGTCTACTGGGATATTTTTGATAATAAAGTTCTAATTATACTTCGCGTGCAAGTTGATATTGTTGGAGATGAGAATCTAAAATTACAGGGACCACAATTTTGAAGTTAATCAAATGTTTTTGAGATGGGTATGCGTTGCTGTATTCTACGGCTAAGGAAACGATTATATTTTTAAACCCTCTATATTACCGGATCAGACGAGATTCTCGGTAAATAATGGACAATGTTCAAATTGTTTGATATATTGTATGATTAAATGTATTGTACATTGAAATGAATTAAATTAAATGCGTCAAAGTTTCACAATTCTGTACATAATGAGAAGTATTGTAAGAAAGTATTGTATATATATCACGATTGCATGTGAATTGTAAATAATCGTTTCATGTTTTATCCGTTTTACTCACTAGATTGTATCCTTGTATTTTCTCTTTATGAGAATTGATAGAAATAGATATATAACCTAGAAATAAAACGCGATTAAAGTGTAATTGTTCTAAGAATTGTCTATTGTCATCGATATATTTATGATACGTAGTTCTGCTCAATATAAAGTAGCTTATTATAAACACGTTCATGATATTTAGTATTGAAACGCGTAGCCAATGTAACGAAACACATGTTAAGCATGTGTAATGTCTAGACGCTTCTTGCGTATACCTGTATAGATATAAATGGAATATATTTTGTGTAAATACTTGTTGAAAGCATCCTGAAGCTGCCACGCCAGTCACAGTTGTAAATTATCACATCATTAGAACGTCAAAACGCAATTATTGTTCGTTGCCTGATAAATGTACCATAATAAAGTATATAGACATTATAAAAGAACATACTTTTGTTTCTGAATTATACACTTGATGAAATAGTTAAAATGATATAAATTTTAGTTGTTTTATTTTTGGATATTTGGGTAATAAAACAGTATTTTTTATAACAGTGTCATAAACAGTACTTCCATTCATATTGTTATTATCACGTTTTGACACGTTCGTTAAATAGTAGCTAATCGACAAAGGGAAAACGAACCAATTGGCAGTAGTATTCACCCGACATGCACAGTAGTCTACTTTAATTCCCAGATGATCACTCGTGAATCCATATAGCCAATTTAGATAATGGCTTTACTATTACAAATATTAATCTATTACTGG